CCTTTAACACAAGTGAGTGTACACAATCATTATTTTCCAAAGGTAAAAGGTAAAAAGTAATTTTTAAAAAATAGCATTTATTCACAAATATCGTTAGGTTTTTGTGGAGCCGCACCACATGACATTTTACTAACTTAACTTTGTCATAACGAAATTATCTGTTATTTAAAGAGACTTATTGACAAAGTTATGAGGGTCTGCAGGGGTCCTCTCTATGATATAATTTCCTGTTTTTTGTTTTTGTTTTTTTTGTTTTGGTTTTGGGTTGGGGAGGTTGCCGCTTGGTTGTGCCAGATAAATGCAAACACTTTCATGTCTTTGCCTACTTTTTTGTTAGTAGCCTGTATTGTAGCTATTAGCAAACTAGTTTTGTTTTCTCCCGTTATAACTAACTTGTAGTTTGGATGTGAACAGTTTTAAAAACACTGTCCATCCAAAATTTCAAAATCCATCCATATTTATAACATAAATCTGGACAAAATATTCATAATTAGTGTTATTTTAGTATTATTTATTATCATTATATATTATTATAATATTTATGAATATTACATATTTATGAATTTACTTTTATTTTAATACTTTTAACTTTTTTATTTCTTTACAGCTTGCTTGCTGTATTTATTTTATTTTATTTTTAAGTTTTAGTAATTTTAGTACTTCAACTTATTCGTTTCAGTTAGTTGGCAAGGCAACATTTCTCATTTCTTTTTTTTTTTTAGTTTACGTTTCTCATCTAATGCTTCGTTTCATATTTTTTTTCTATTACCGAAAATGATTTTTAACAGTTTTAATTTTAGTTTTAGTTAACAATAGCGACACTGATGCACATCTCTCAAGATAAAAGAAAATCAGTTCAAAAGTAACCGCATACCCAGAATGCTTGGTGGCATGACATTTAAACTCTATTTAGCCGATTGTGATTTGGAACTGATCTGGTTGTTTTGATTCTTCATATGAAGAATATTTGTGCTGGTAATTTAGAGAGCAGCTTGCAGTGCATTTTAGTGTCTGACTCTAATTTGTCAGTCACACCGCTCACATGTAAGACAGCATTAGTCACCGAAATTAGTCACATCGTCGCTTAGGAATGATTCTTACTAAAACTATGTAGCCATGTTGGGAAATTTAGCAGTTGTGTTGTGTCTAGAGCGCTTTCCCACAGATAAATAAGCAGTCGGAATAGTTGGACCTAGTTGTTTCCCAAAATGTTAGCATAGTGCTAATTTTTCTGCCTATTTCCTAGGTTCTAAGAGGACCACAGCTCATCGCAGTGGCGTCGACCGACGGGACGGGCGGGGTTGACGCATCTCCTCTCCAGGGTAACGATATTCAGGTGCAATACGTCCAGCTGGGAACGGTGACCGACCACACAGTACAAGTGAGATAAGCCAAAAACACACTCACACACACAAACACAGCGTCAACATTATCTGTGATGTACAGCCGTTTTATTTCAGGGAGGAATGTTTTCTGTCTCAAAAACGACCACCACTGTCGCACAGGTGTGCGATGAATGCACCAATCTGGTCTGTGGTGAGCAGCAGTTCTGCGCCATTGCTGCTGGGTGGCGTAGTGACCAATATGTGCGATCAAACTCGCTCTCTCACCATGGGTTCTTTCTAGAAATCATAGGCAGTGATCTTAACCTGCTCTCCGCTCTCACTTTAGGCTAATCAGCAACCCAGATCAGTTTGTTTTTCCTCCGAATAATAAATTGCCTTTAGTTGTCCTTTTCCTCCCTGTCTATTTTCTCATTTTTATCCCTCTTTTCCATCTCATGCTCTACATCAAGTTCTCAACATGCTCAAACACTCCTTGATGTGTGTTTTCACTCTAATCACTTCCCCATGATGCCGTTACGGCGTTTCGGAGCCGTGATATGGCGTGCACGCATATTCAAACACATTTAGAGGTTTGACAGTCATTACAGGTCACCACATTTCCCCAGCTGCACTCGCGTGTTTGATTCATGTGAGGCTTCAAGCTAGGGTTGAGGAGCACAGGCACAATTTGACTTGCATATTTCACATCTGCTTTAGAGAAGAAGAAACTTCTTTTAATCTGAAGCAAAGAGCAATCAGGGTTAAATCTCGTGAGCGAAATTAGTGGGTCAAACTTTAGTTGGCAAAGATTTTGTGGCAAGACATAAAAACTATGACAATAAAATGATTTAAATTAAAGGAATAATAGATCACCCAAAAAATAAAAGTTAGTTGTAGATGAGTTTGTTTCTTCATCAGAACAGATTTGGAGAAATGTAGCTTTCCATCACTTGCTCACCAGTGGATGCTCTGCAGTGAATGGGTGCCGTCAGAATGAGAGTCCAAACAGCTGATAAAAACATCACAATAATCCACAAGTAATCCACACCACTCCAGTCCAACAATTAACATCTTATGAAGCCAAAAGCTGCGTGTTTGCAAAAAACAAATCCATCATTAAGACATTTTTAGCTTCAAACCGTTGCTTCTGGTTAAAAAACAAGTCCATAATCCATAATATTGCTTTCTCGAGTGAAAAAGACGTCTCATCTGAATCAGGAGAGAAATATTCACAGATCAAGCACCGTTTACAGGTGAAAACAGTCCAAAACGGATCTAAACAAATATGTTGGTAGATTTTGATGTGAGCCGACAATAGTGGATGGACTTTTTCACTGAGGAAGGGTTATTATGGATTATTAACTCTTAACGATGGATTTGTTTCTTCCAAACATGCAGCTTTTCACTTCACAAGACATTAACTGATGGACTGGAGTGGTGTGGATTACTTGTGGATTATTGTGATGTTTTTATCAGCTGTTTGGACTCTCATTCTGACGGCACCCATTCACTGCAGAGGATCCACTGGTGAGCAAGTGATGGAAAGCATTTCTCCAAATCTGTTCTGATGAAGAAACAAACTCAACTAATATTCATTTATGGGTGAACTATTCCTTTAGTGTATACGGTTGGTATTTAATGTATATCATTAACACTGCAAGATTTTAAAAATACACTATTTATACATTTTTAGGAAAGAACGAATCAGTCATGCATTTTATAAATGTTTCAAAATGTTAGAAACAAGGTTGCCAGGTCATGGAAAACCTGGAAATTAGAGGGGAAAAAAGTAATGGATAAGTAATGCATTTCTTTAATGACCATGTATTATTATTATTATTATTTAGTTTAGCCCTTAAATATTTAATTGGATAGAAAAATTTGTAAAAGAATTAAAAATCATGAAATTTCTATAATGAGCAATTTAGTTTATCAAAAATAGTTGGAATAAAATAATGGAGAATGACTGGGAAAATCATAAAAAGTAATTAATCCAAAGGAGTAGGAACCCTGTGGAAATTATATTTGAAGTACAGACTGGTGCTGTTTGACACACGTTTTTTTTTGTCATTTTGCACATTATCATTGAATAAAATTGAGCGAAATGGACTATAACAAATTAATATATTGACATATTGACACAATTAAAATATTTTCACTAAAAGTCAAATTGCTGAAGCAAAAAAACTGTAAAAACCAACAATGAGAACATCAAGCATTTCAAAGCCCTTTCTTGTGACCATCCCTCTTACATTTTTTAAAAACACTCACGGCACTAGCACGCACCCCCAATATGGCTTTTGTGAGCGCGGGAATGTGAGCTATTTGGTAACAGGGAGGAGGACGAGGCCTTTACCACAGTTGCTCTTTAAAGTGGTTAGGCTGGTACAACTAAAACCTCTTTAGACCTTTTGGGCGCTTATGGTTTAAATAGTCTTAAAGGGCATTTCCTCCTTAAAATCTGTACTTTTTTTCAATTTACTTTATTAATACACTTTCCTGGTCTCATTGTGCTTGATTCATCATCGCACGTTATTTCAAAAGAAAAAAAAGTCATCTTATATAAAAAATGACAACTTGCTCCGGCTCTGAAACGACTTTCCTATACTGATGACATCAGCAAGACCTCTTATTTTTCAGCCCCTTCTCTATACTCTGCTGTAAACAAAGGCCATTAAAAAACAAACAAATGTTCCCCTTCCTCTCTTTCAAGTACACTCTTTCATCGGATGTGCTGTACCAGAGCCAAATTTGTTGTACGGCTTGTTATCTGAGTGACCTGCATCTTTCTTTTCCTCTTTCTCTCTCTCAGGGATACACACTCTTGTATTTTGGCCGACCTTCAAATATGTTGTGTCTCATCTTCATCTTAAGCAGGCTGTACCAAACTCCGGAAGGCAGTTTGTGGGAACGGCTTGATGATTGCATCCGTACCCAGACCCCATCAGAGGGTCTTAGATTTACCTCTAGCCTCACTTGTTGCTTTACTTGGTGGTCTGGACTCCTTCCAAAATTGGCTCTGCAATTATACTGTACACATCAAAGCTGTTGGAAAGCTGTTAATGGACTATGATGCTTGAATAGAGCGCCGCATGCGCAACATTTGACGCAGTCAAGCGAGTAAATCTCTGCAAATCGATTATAGATTACTGCCGTTTTGTGACAAACCACCTGTCACGGGGATAAAATAAACAGCTGTCAGAGGAAATGAATATGAATTATGGCATGAGCTCATTTAGTAGTGGAAAGCTGTTAATGGACTATGATGCTTGAATAGACGCAGTCGCAGTCAAGCGAGTAAATCTCTGCAAATCGATTATAGATTACTGCCGTTTTGTGACAAACCACCTGTCACGGGGATAAAATAAACAGCTGTCAGAGGAAATGAATATGAATTATGGCATGAGCTCATTTAGTAGTGGAGCTGTGCTAAAGTTGGCGAACAGAAAAACAACCTGCTGTTTTTGGAAGACAATTTGGTGGAAAATTTGTTTACATGGAAATCAATTCTTGCATGTTTTACAGGTGCATCTCAATAAATTAGAATGTCGTGGAAAAGTTCATTTATTTCAGTAATTCAACTCAAACTGTGAAACTCGTGTATTGGCTCACATTTAACAAAAACCCACGACATTCTAATTTATTGAGATGCACCTGTATATCTTGCTCTGTTTTTTTTTTGTTTTTTTGTAAAATTTAAAATAAAATTTTCTCTTAAATGTAAAACTATATGACAACCTGGATAAAGACATTATGTATTTCATATATTTATGTTTTCATAAAAAGTTTAGGTTGAGCGTCTACATACATAAATTTGATTCAGTTTAAATACATCCTACCCAGTCTCAACTAGTTGCAGCTGTGACTTGATCTCACACATAGTGAGATCTTATTGGTCCAAATTCCTGTTCTAAAGAGCTGTGTATTAAAGATCAAATATAATCTGATTGGCTGTGATTGTTGTGTAGTGCACTGTTTTTCATTTAAAACTTGGACACTTGTCATATTTAGTCGGAGAGCATGTGAAAAAAAAACAGCAATGAATAAGAAATAGTTAAATTATATAGAATTATAGCTAGAAATGAACCTTGGTGAAATAAAACAAATACAATTATTAGAAATAAATAAATAAATACCAAATAAGTGGATTTTAAGTAGATATTGGGGACAAAAATAAAATATAATGCTAACAAAAAAATAATTTAATAAAAACTTTGGAACATTAGTGGATATAAAGTAAAATAAAATAAATAAAAGTGGATATCAGGGACAAAAATTAAATCTAATGATTACAACAAAAAATAAAAAATACCAAGAAAGTTAGTGGATGTTAGAAAAATTCAAGTAAATTAATAAGTTATAAGTGAATTTTAGGTGGACATCATGGACAAAAATTTTATATAATGATCAAAAACTAAACATTAAAACAAACAAACATAAAAAGAAAATAAATCAAGTATAAATAAATAAGTAAATAAATAAATGCATATTAAGTGGACATCAGAGAAAAAAATAAAATATCATGATCATAAAATAAATAAAAAAACAACAAAAAAATTAAAAACTTAACAATAGTGGACCTCAGGTAAAAAATTTTTTTAAGTAAATTAAAATAATAATTTAATTTTTACTTTATTGACCCATTGCAACCCACTTGATGCCAAGAAGCCAGGAAATGACATCAAATGCTTTAAACTATAGGAAAGCTTAATAATTGGGAAACTTAGTCAGTTTAATTTCAAGCTGAACTGATTTCGGACAGCTGTCTTCTTGCGCCTGAGGTCACCGCGCTTCGTTCTATGTGAATTTTAGGATTATTTCAGTCGCTCTCATCTGCTGCACAAAACATGTGGTAGTGTTTACAGACATTTTTCATGAACGCACCCCTTTATTTTTTCATTTAATAGCTTCCATATCACACATTCGATCACACTGGATAAAAATCGTCGAAAGTAAAGCATTGTTTCCGGCCAGGAAGCTCTGTTCTCTGTACAGTCCGATAGAAGTGTCAGCTCACTTACTCAGGGCTGTTTGAAACTGATGCTTTTGAGCGATTCAATCATTGGCTCTAATGAGTGCCCTCTTGTGGAGCCGCAGGAAATCGGCCCCTGAGGACTTTACACTTAGCACCTAAGATGAAAAGCACAGCTCGTAAGTGTCTCGCATCAAACGGGCTGTGTTTTAAGAGTCTTGGCACTTGGGGGCCGTGCCCTTGAGTACAGTTTGAGCTTTGCACCGTGCAGGTGTGCGGTCTGTTCCCCTGGCGTGTGTTGAGGAAGGAATGACTCACTGCTCATACTCTGAAGTGACTCATCCTGCATTGTCTTCCCCTGCATCACTCCCTCTGCCCTTTTTTGAGGGAGTGTTTTTATTTCGACGACTGAGATAAAGTGTAGCCTTCGTCTGACCCTTTACATTTCTCCTGGTTTTCCATCTCTTGTTGTTGTCCTGATCTTTGTTTTTGCTGTATCAATCTGTACACCTGTCAGCATTGTATTTGTCTGCTTTCACCGCCTCCATCAATATGGTAAAGCGGGACGTATTAAGCCTGGGCAAATGATGGGATATACAGCGCTGCGATAGATATGTATCAGCTGACAGTGATTCCACTATACATGGTATCTTAATAAAACAGACATTCCAGACCGTGCTGCAGACAAACACTTCTATTGAACATTGTTTCTTTAATGCCAAGAGTTCATTTGGATGTATCCATCCAAGACACACTGTCACTATGAAACTTGTGCATTAATGTAGTATTCAGCAGATGTTTGATCAACTTCCTATATATCAAGTATTTTACACCGGCTGCAAATATTATAACACTATACTGGCAAAAATAAATTAAACAAAAACAGATAAAAACTTAAGAACATTACTGGACATCAGGGAAAAATGTAGTAAATATAAATAAATACTTGAATTAGTTGAATTTTAAGACATCAGAGGAAAAACTATATATATAACAATTACAAAAAAATAAAAATTTAGAGGACCTCAGAAAATTAGAACATTTTTGGAGTTTAGGGAAAAAATTAAGTAAAATTAAAATACCTAAAATAAAGTTGACATTTTTAGTTATTTAATTTACTTTTTAATTTATTTTTTATATTAAATTTTTACCTTATGGACCAATTGAAACCCACTCGCTGAGCTAAGAAACCACATTTATTATCAGATTTATTCATGTTTTTGAAAGATTATTGTTTTGTTTACCAAGGCTGCATTTATTTGATAAAAAAATATTTTCTGTCAAAAAACATTAAAAATTAAAATAACTCTCTTCTTTTGTATAGTAATGTCATTCATTTATGTGATGCAAAGCTGAATTTCCAGTAGCCATTATTCCAGTCTGATTTTCTGCTCAAGAATAAATAAAAAAATACACTTTTATAAATGCATTTATACCAATATAATTGCAATATGAAACATTTTGTGGTAGAATTATCTCAGCAAAAAAATAAAAAAAAATATATA